AGCTGGGATTACAGGCATGCACCACCACACCTGGCTAATTTTGTAATTTTAGTAGAGACAGGGTTTCTTGTTGGTCAGGCTGGCCTTGAACTCCTAACCCTAGGTGATCCACCCACCTTGGTCTCTCAAAGTGCTGGGATTACAGGCATGAGCCATGGTGCCTGGCCTGGACATATACCTTTTAAAAGAATGAAATTAATTAAAAATGCTTTTAGAAAGTTAAATCTAATTTTAAGATTTAACAGGAAATATTTAATCAGAAATAACTTTAAACTCATACATTCACTACATGAAGGGGTATTGAAATCTACTCCTTAAAACTCAATACATGCAGTATACTAATTACATAACTATTTTAAAGCTCTGAATAAAGTCTGTCATTGCTCCCAGAGGGAACTGGCCTTTATACATATGACACATCTATGTTAGACATATTCAAGATATATAAAGTATGATATTCAGTAGAGACAAATATAAGGCTATGTAAATCTTTCTTTAGACACACACATATGCTGTATCAAGCAATGATAATATATTTTTTATCCAATACATTAAAATGTTTACCAAGTGCTGCTGCCTCTAAACCAGTCTTAGAAATAAAAGGAATTCTTAAGTTGACTCTAAGGAGGTTTAGACCTTTCTTTTTGAAATTGTTTGCATATTCCAATCTTTTTATTTTTTCTCAACTGGAATAATTTGGCTTCAATCACACCAAACTTATCTCTGAATGACTTTTGTTTCAAAAAGTCAAACCCATCTTCATTTGATAAAGATTTCCTAGCATTGATATTTATAAAACAGTCCACAAACTCTTTTAGATAAGTATTCTGAAATGTTCTGCACAATGGCACCATCATAGGAGTAAGTGTGCAACCTTTCAAGGCGATGTGTAATTTCCCTCACAGCAGGTTAAAAACAAAATCTTCCACATATCCTTATGGCTTATCTCCTATTCAGAAAGGAGAGAGACTGCCTGAGTGTGATTCTTGTTCCACCACTTGCTGCGTCCTTGAGTCTATATCAACATCTCTATGCTTCTGTTTCTTCGCCTGTGAAATGGGGATAACAGTAGTACTTATATCTCAAAAGGTTGTTTAAATTAATACTTGCAAGGCACTTGGAACACACAAGGAAACTTAACTGCTGTTGTTATTTCCTATTCTTGTAATGCAAGAACTTGATACAGTACAAAGTTTCAAGCCAGAAACTCAATCAGTCAATAAAAAGGATATAAAGATATTTTCCCTGTTGTACATTTGACAAATTCCAAACTTCATCATTCAGGAAAGCTACCGTTGCTCCCTTGAGGAAAAGGCAATGGCTATCTGGAGGATCCAACTTGGAGAGAATAAAACAAAGACTAATTAGTTATTGTGAGTTTAACAGCAGAAGGATAATTGGTATCTTGAGCCAGAAAAACTTCTACACAAATTAAATGATGTCCAAATCACAAAAATATGCACATGAACTTTAATAACATGTAAATGATAATATTTTCTTTTCTATTTCATGTTCCAAAACAGTGAAACAGCAAGGTGATAAGTACATGGCAGATGCAAGGCTAATCTAGAATCCTGGTGATGAAGTGGAAAGGGTGTATGTGTGCCTTTTCTGGCAATCTTCATGAGGGTATTGGAAAATCAATGAAGACTGGTATATGAGAATTATGGTATACATATCAGCCATCATGTAAATATTTAATTAGAATGCTGAAAAATATAACCTTGAGAGATAACATACATAAACATATATAGTAATTCCAGTTTGAATAATTAGGAAGTTGTGATAATTTTATACAGAAATACTTTGCTAAGTATATTTTACTGAGAAAAAAATGCTATCTGAAATACTATTAAAAATTTGTAAGTTACTATGTCTAAATCACTAAATAAAATTATATTCCAGTGTCGTTGAAAGGATCTCTGTACTAGGCAGTGTTTCAATATTCTGGGCAACATGTTGCTAAAGTAAAAAAAGCTAATTTCTTTTTGATATAAAATATGGAAAAAGCTAAATTTCTTTATTTTTATTTTATTTATTTATTTTGAGACAGAGTTTCACTCTGTTGCCAGGTGCCAGGTTGGAGTGCAGTGGCACGATCTCAGCTCAGTGCAACTTCCGCCTCCCAGGTTCAAGCAGTTCTCCTGCCTCAGCCTCCTGAGTAGCTGGGACTACAGGCGCACACCACCCCGCCCAGCTAATTATTTTGCATTTTTAGTACAGGCGGGGTTTCACCATGTTGGCAAGGATGGTCTTGATCTCTTGATCTCATGATCCGCCCGCCTCGGCCTCCCAAAGTGCTGGGATTACAGGCGTGAGCCACTGTGCCCAGCCTAAATTTCTTTATGATTCAGATTTTTTTCTTTATTTTTTTGAGACAGAGTTTTGCTCTGTCACCTAGGCTGGTGTGCAGTGGTGCAATCTCAGCTCACTACAACGTCTGCCTCCTGGGTTCAGGTAATTCTTGTGCCTCAGCCCTCAGCCTCCTGAGGACCTGGGAATATAAGCTTGCACCACTATGCCTAGTTAATTTTTCTATTTTTTGTAGAGATGGGGTTTCACCATATTGGCCAGACTGGGCTTGAAGTCCTGGCCCCAGGTGATCTGCCTACCTCGGCCTCCCAAAGTGCTGGGATTACAGGCACGAGCCACCATCCCTGGCCCAGATTTTATACTAATTTAGTCATACCTTGCCTCAAATAACTTAGGCATCATTGTTTGTTAATTACACCCCTTTGGGGTAATACTAATGCTTTATGGATTCTGATAATACCTGAAGGTTTTCTTCTGTTGTTATCCAATGGCCTCCAACACCAAGAAGTGTGATGATATCATGTTTATGTGGTAGTAGTTGTAATTTTACATCTGGTTCATCATCTTTACTATACAATCTCACTTGCAAGGGAATAGTTAAAAAGAAAAAACAAGAGAGAAAGAAGAAATATATTTTATAATAATCTGACAAAAATTTATTCTTCAAACAAGTTCTTATTTATTTAGAGACAGTCTTACTATGTTGCTCAGGCTGGCCTGAACTCCAGCAATCTGCTTGCCTCAGCCTCATGAGTAGCTGGAACTACAGGGGCAGGCTACTGTGTCCAACACTCTCTTTACTTTTTCATTTTATTTTTTTTGAGATGAAGTCTCACTCTGTTGCTCAGGCTGGAGTGCAGGGGTGCAACCTCAGGTTCAAGCGACTCTCCTGCCTCAGCCTCCTGAGTAGCTGGTACTATAGGCATGTGCCACCACACCTGGCTAATTTTTTATATTCTTAGTAGAGACAGAGTTTCACCGTGTTAGGATCTCGATCTCCTGACCTTGTGATCCGCCTGCCTCGGCCTCCCAAAGTGTTGGGATTATAGGCTTGAGCCACTGTGCCTGGCCTCTCTTTATTTTTTAATGTAGGAATGAAGAAAGATTTTTCTCAAAAAAGGCAACACGCAATGTATTCTGATACCTTAAAATCTACTTGGTTGCATCAAATGAATCATAAAATTTATTCTACATTTAACAATTTATTGTAAATCTATTTATTATAGAAATAAATAAAAATAAAAAGTCTATCTTCATTTGAAAACCAGGCAAGGTAATGTAACACATAACCAAATCTGATAATTAACATTGGTAGCTTACTATAGTGAGATGAGTTGATTCCCGATTAAAAAACTCATAGACTCAAGACCGTCTTAATTACTGAAATGTCCATGTGAAAAAATGATGCAAAAAAGTATGTATTTACTTCCACAGACAGATTTTCCAGAACTATTTTCAAATCTTAGAAAATACTGGTTTAAAAAAGCACATGATAGTCATAACCATATTCATCCATGCTTCTCACATTAGAAGATAAATCCTACTAAAGTATAAATAGAAGCACTTTGCATGCCTGTGGCTTGTGAAACCTATCCTTTAGGAGTCATGCTATTACTTAAGTGTGTTCAGAGTAAGTGATAAATAGATACTGGGTAAACTAAAAACATTCAAGAAAAGTGAAACTGGAACTTGGGTATTTTCCAAATAAAGACTGCGGAAATGAACTGTCCAGTAGAGGGCAGCCACACAGCAGATGGGACTGAAAAGGCATCGCAATGATGATGTGTTATCTGGGAACCACTGAGGAGATGATTTTTTTTTATATCTTTTTTTTTTTTTTTGAGACAGACTCTCGCTCGGTTGGAGGCTGGAGTGCCGTGGTGGGATCTTGGCTCACTGCAACCTCTGCCTCCCCTTTTCAAGCGATTCTGCTGCTTCAGCCTCCCAAGTAGCTGGGACTACAGATGTACACCACCTCAGCCACCTAATTTTTGTATTTTTAGTAGACACGGAGTTTCACCATGTTGGCCAGGATGATCTTGATCTCCTGACCTTGTGATCTGCCTGCCTTGGCCTCCCAAAGTGCTGGGATTATAGGCGTGAGCCACCATACCCGGCCTAGGAGGTCATGTTTCTAGATTTCTTGTAGCGATATGTCATTCACGACTCTAATGTCTATACCAAGCTTGTCCAACCTGCAGCCTGCCCACGATGGCTTTAAATGAGACCCAACACAAATTTGTAAACTTTCTTAAAACAGTATAAGACATTTTTGAGATTTTTTTTTTAAGGTCATCAGATATCATTAGTGTATTTTATGTGTGGCCTAAGATGACAATTCTTCCATTGTGGCCAGGGAAGTCAAAAAGGGGCACCCCTGGTCTACACTGGTAAAAGATAAGAATGTTCTCTCTTACACACAGTGCTTATAATGGTAATAACGTGAAGAAGTTCCAATTTCAATTAAAAAGTCTTTAGTTGGCCGGGCGCGGTGGCTCAAGCCTGTAATCCCAGCACTTTGGGAGGCCGAGGCGGGTGGATCACGAGGTCAAGAGATCGAGACCATCCTGGTCAACATGGTGAAACCCCGTCTCTACTAAAAATACAAAAAATTAGCTGGGCATGGTGGTGCGTGCCTGTAATCCCAGCTACTCAGGAGGCTGAGGCAGGAGAATTGCCTGAACCCAGGAGGCGGAGGTTGCGGTGAGCCGAGATCGTGCCATAGCACTCCAGCCTGGGTAACATGAGTGAAACTCTGTCTCAAAAAAAAAAAAAAAAAAAAAAAAGTCTTTAGTTAAAAACAAAACCCAAAAATATTTTTCTCTTAAATTCATCAAACTAAAAAAACTACACAGTCTACTAATTTCATAAGGTACCTACCTCCAGCATCTAGGACAATATCTACTCCCAGGCCACCTGTTTCTTCCAAACAGCTTTCAGCAACGTGAACTTTCCCATTAGATACATCAATCACTCGGGCTGTAAAGGACAGGAAATCAGGCAATTGTACTGTTCTCTATGTGATCAACACAAACAAATCAGGGAGAAAGAAAAAGAAAAGCAAATAAATATCTATTCTCTGAAATAAGCAATTTAAACAATTACTGAGTTTAAAGGGAAAAAGTCAATTTAAATTATACTTCTTCTCATCTAACCCAATATGGGATATAGCAGTCTAAATGAAGAGACTTGTATATTCAATAAAATTGAAATGTGGCCAGGCACGGTGGCTCACGCCTGTAATCCCAGCACTTTGGGAGGCTGAGGCAGGCGGATCACGAGGTCAAGAGATCGAGACCATCCTGGCCAACATGGTGAAACCCCGTCTCTACTAAAAAATACAAAAATTAGCTGGGGGTGGTGGCGCTCGCCTGTAGTCTCAGCTACTCGGGAGGCTGAAGCAGGAGAATTGCTTGAACCCAGGAGGCGGACATTGCAGTGAGCTGAGATTGCTCCACTGCACTCCAGCCTGGTGCCTGGCGAAACAGCGAGATTCTGTCTCAAAAAAAAAAAAAAAAATTAAAATGTGGCCGGGCCCGGTGGCTCACACCTGTAATCCCAGCACTTTGGGAGGCTGAGATGGATGGATCACAAGGTCAGGAGTTCAAGACCAGCCTGGCTACCATGCTGAAACCCTGTTTCTACTAAAAATACAAAAATTAGCTGGGCATGTTGATGCGTGCCTGTAATCCCAATTACTTAGGCTGAGGCAGGAGAACTGCTTGAACTGGGACCCAGGAGGCAGAGGTTGCAGTGAGCTGAGACTGTGCCACTGCACTCCAGTCTAGGCTACAGAGCGAGACTCCATTTAAAAAAAAAAAATAAAATAAAAATAAAATGTGAACATTTGTGGATAAGATTATCCAAGGCTGGTCTGTTGACACAGAGCACTATTCTCTACAGCTATAGGATATGTTGCCAGAATTAGGAATCTGAAAACACAGAGGTACATATATAATAAGACATAAACGGGAAGTTTTTTTTTTTTTTTTCAGACAGGGTCTCACTCCATTGCCCAGGATGGAGTACAGTGGCATGATCACAGCCCAATGTAGACTTGAACTCCTGAGTTCAAACAATCCTTCTGCCTTAGCCTACCAAGTAGCTAGGACTACAGGTACATGCCACCATGCCTGGCTAATTTTTTTATTTTTTGTAGAGACAGGGTCTTGCTATGTTGCCTAAGCTATTTTTGAACTCTTGGCCTCATGTGATCCTCTACCTTGACCTTCCAAAGCCCTGGGATTATAGGTGTGAGCCACCGTACCCAGCTAGATTAAGTAGTTTCTCAAGTATGTTCATATTTAATAGTCATTAAAGCTAAAAAGCATAAAAATATACAGATGATCCTTATCTTTACAATGGGCTACATCCCAATAAACCCACTGTAAGTCAAAAACACACTTAATACCCCAATAAACCCATCATACCATTAAAAAAAATCCTAAATCCAAACACTGTCAGCTGGAGACTGTATTTGTGAAATATGGTAATTATCTACTAGAGGCTGTTTCACCCTTTCTCAGTCATAGAAATCCCCCTCTCTTCTTACTCTCCCAAATGAAGAAAAATCTTAAAGCTAAGGAAAAGGAACATGATTTTTAACAGTCATTAAAAATTAAATTGATTTTAACTGGCTGCATTAAAGTATATTAGTAATATCATATTAATAGACTATAAATTATTGATAGAATTAAAAATAATTCTCAAAATTTTGAACTGGCAACTAATAAAATGTTTGATTTCCTTTCTGTATCTTTTAACACCTTCTTGTTGAAGAGCATTCCTCTTAGGGCTGCTTAAATTAGAGATATAGTTGAACAGAGTAATCTAGGATTTGGAAAGGAGGAAGGGAACAAAAGGAAAAGGGGACAAAGCAATCTAAGAAGGGCAAATTAACCAATAAGAAATTTTCCCTTTATTCATGCTTTTTTTTCATACCATCATGCCCCCCCCCCTTTTTTTTTTT